CTGCTCTGATCACTAGCGTCTCACGGCTGAGCGCGAGAAGAACCCAGTGTGCACCCCAAGCCTTCGGAGGCCTCCCAAGTTAGAAGCACAAAATGCAGTGGGAACTGTGAGTGGGGACTCCAGCAGCGCTGACTGCGGTCCCCAGGCCAGAGGCTGCTGTGCTGTGTGTGTGTCCAGGGCTGAGAAGATTCACCCAGCCTGTGCTCTGGAAACCAGAGGGAGAGTGGTGCTTCCCACACGACGTGCATGAGCTGTGCAAACCGCCCTGAGCGCTGTGCAGGGCCCCCTTTGACTCATCTCCTCTCCTTCCAGCTGCCTCGCTCCTGAGCTGCTGCTGTCTCCGCTCCCCACCCACGCGCTCTGTCCCGCAGCCATCAAGCCTTTCCTTCCTTTCCCCAAAGGGAAGAGCTGCGCTTTGCTCTCGCCTGAGCTCTGCTTAGAATGGGGCAGCCTCTCTCTCTCCAAGGCGGGGTCCTCATCCCCTTGTCCCAGCTCCTTCCTGGACATCCCTCTCCACCCTCTGGCAGTCTGTCCATCCCACGGCTGTCCACCGCCTGCCCTTCCTCCTTTCTCTCGGGGACCCCTCCCCCTGGCCTGCTTTCCCCTCTTAGACTCTTGAGCTCTGTGAGGAACAAGAACCACCTCCATCTTGTTCAGACTTACATCTCCAGCTCTCTGAGTAAATCCCACCAGGTGAAAATGGTAAGCCGTGTTGGCCTCTGTGTTTTAAAAGTATTTGGCACACTTGGCTGGAAAATGAAATTGGCAACAGAATGAGACCATTATTGCTGGGCCTTAGAAGCCGGGGCTGGAATACCTGGGACTCCTGTTTTTCCTGTGGCTTCTTGGAAGCCTGAGGGAACCATCTGTGTTCCTGACCAACCAAGCCCCCAGGTCTGTGTGTCCACAAGGGACTAATTATATTTCACCTCAGCAGTGATTTGACCGTGGAACTTCCTGTACTAGCAACAAACACAGAAGACCAAAATATCCCTTGTCTCCGAGACAGATTTGCGGGAGGCTGACACACCTTCCAGCCTCAGCACCGTCCTGTGCTGTTTGAACAATGGAAAGGTGGCCTTTTCACATTAGCAAAGTCCTGGAGAAAGGTATTCACAGTTTCGTATTTGCTCAAGTACTGCACATTTCCTGTCAAAAATACTAACTGCAGTGCTTTTAAGGTGTTGATCAGTTTTGACATTTATCCATATTTGGAAAAAAAAAAAAGGTGGAGTTGAATCGGATCTTTGTCTTCTAGAGGTGTATATTCGCAACCCACTTGGTGAAATGTTTATCCTGAGGGTTTGACACTGATAAAATACATTTTTTAAATCCAGTTTTTTAAAGTAGTTGACTCTTTTTTTAAAAAACCTTCTTTCATGATGCCAAGCAAAGGGCTTTTTGTTTGTTTGTTTGTTTTAAACTGGTGCGTATCAGGTGGTTATTTGCCAGTTAGTCCAAGAGCTAATAAGAAATTGGTGTTTGGATTTAATTCCGTTCCATTAGGACAGATTTACATGTTTGTGATACTGGGACTATTATTCTGGCCGTTGTGAGGGATTTTTGTGCGAGGGAGCCGTGCTGACAAAGAGGGTACTGTGCCGGCTGCGTCTGTAACTGAGCACTTTCACACTGCAATTTAGGAGGTGAGCAGCTCAGGAAATTGCTGGCTTTGGCTGGAGCATACTTTTACTGCAAGGAAAATTTTATTCGTCATTCAAGTAATTGGCAGTTTTAATACCTTATAAACAAATGAATATAATTACCTTCTAAGCAAATGAATATATAAACCAAAGATTGTATGGTCTGTTATCTAACTGGTAGCCTTATTTGACCAATGTGATAGACACCTGTGGACCTCCCTCTCCATCCCCTAAAAACTAATTTTCTCCATATATTGCAAAAAAAATAATGGCTGAGTGGTTTCTGTTGTTAATATAAGCGTAGCTGTGCTAACTCAGACAGCCTGGAGACTGAAGCCAGCTGCCTAGGGAAGGAGAGAGTGGCTGACCGGGGCCCAGGGGTGGTGGAGACAGGGGCTCTTGGGCTTGTCAGGGTTATTCCTGTGTTTGTGGGAGGACATCCTGGTAATGCAAACATTTGGGCAATGCATTTAAGGAAAATTTCTGTCCCCCAAAGTGTGGTTTTATATAGCCCACACACCCTGACCCTAAGGCCTGTGGAGTGTCTCTTGAACTGAATCTGTCTCCGGGACCCAGAAATTGACTAATTGTCTCCCTTGCTTTACTCTGTACCTCACAGCTAGATCAAGGACTTAGTCGGCTGGTGCATGCAGATGTGGGGAATGGTCAAAATCAGAGGTCATGGCTGACTTGACTCTAAACAAAAGTCTGTGAGGCTCTGGGAGACGCTGAGGGGCTGGATGTTCATGACTGCTGATCCCTTCTTAAGAACTTTCTTATTATCACAAGCTCTGCTTTTACTATATGCAGTTGTCTGTGCTTGTTACCTTGTACAGTATTATTTTGAAAAATGGGGTTAGCCTCCTTCCATGACTTGGATTTTAAAGAAAAAAAAAAGACAATTTTTCCACTGTCCTCAAAAATAACATAGGGTAGGGGGTTGATATGTTGAGAAGTTCTCTTTATAGTTGTTTAAATGTAGAATGTGCAGCCCAGCCCATGGCTTTTTCCTGCTTTTGCTTTTTCTTGCGGGGAAAGCAGTGCTTGGCTTTTGTGTGTGTTCTGGGAGGTGTCTTCCTAACTCTGCTGGTTGCTGAGCCTGTGGGGACCCCAGGAGACCCCCCTCATCTGTGTAGGGAGATTGGGAGGGGCCCTGTTCTGGGGCATTCTTAGCATTGGTGGTGATGATGATGGCTCGGTGAGCCAGGGTAGATCCCTACATCAATTTTAAACCAAAAATTCAGTATTTCTGCAAGGTGGGAAGTAGCACACCTTTCTGAAGGCACATCTCCATGCAAGAATTACCAAAATATCTTTGATACTCTGTGTTCTATGAAATAAGCCTTAAGGGATTGCTTTGGGATCAATCCAGACTTATTCAGGGAGGGAGAGGGCTTGGGAATGCTTGGACTTCTTGTTAGGGGAAGATCCTTGGTTTCTCCATTTTAAAATTATACTGTTTGTACCAGAGAAATTTCGTTATGATTAAACGGCATAACATTTGGAAAGTGCTGAGCACAGGACTTGGTACCTGCTAGGGGCTCACCGTTGTTGGATTTCATACACTTTGCAAGATCCCGGGACAGAGGGGTAGACTTCCTTCTGTGACGGTTCCAGCGGGCGAGTAAGTGCTGTCAGCGTGCAGTGTGGGGCGCTGGGACGAGTCGCAGGACCCACTCTTCACTCACAAACCTTCTGAGATAGTGAGAGACCTACCTGCAAGCCGTAATGTGGAAGAGCTTAGTAAACTCAAAGCACTATAGAGGTCTAGGTACTGCTGTCTGAGTTCTCTCATTAAGTGAAGGTCAAATGCGCACTATATATAGAAACACCTGTTTGTGAGGAGTGCAAAACGCCAAGTTCTGCTCAGAGCACTCAGATCGTTTCATTGCTTATTGGGCTGTGAACAGGTGACCAGATTTTAACATCTGTAAGGCGGGACAACATGGCCAGGGGGCGTGGAGCAGGGGCGCGGAGCCGGGCAGGCAGGGCCTGACAACAATGAAAACTTTGATAAGCAGTTCTCGATAATCACTTCTCAGCAATTATTTATTACAGTTTAACATTATAAAATTAACAAAAATAATATAAAACTCATATTCTGGTGAAATAGCCATAGGCGGCCGAAAACCGTATATTTCCTTCTTGTTCTTCAGCCCGTTTGTGCATTCTTTCCAAAAATCGGGACTTTTTTGAAAATGCCATGGGACGTGGGACAAATTGTTGAAAAGCAGGACGGTCCCACCAAAATCGGGACATCTGGTCACCTTAGCTGTAGAGAGAAGGCCTTTCTGTGATTTGTAGGTGGCCTTTCTACTTTAACATGTTATTTCCCCACCAAAGGACCGTCCCCAAAGCACCAACGACCTGATCTGTTATGACAATTAAAATCTCTTGCATGTGTTTGATTTCTGTTTTTAATGAAATCATCAAACACTGAATTGCCCCTCGGAAGCTGTTGTATTGGTGACTTGTTAGGAACTTTGACTTGGGGATCCTTTTGTTGTTGTTGTTTTGCATTTGGGCCCAGTGTAACGCTGACTGCCAGCACAGTGGTGGCAGAAGTGTTCCCTATGTGGCTGTTGATTACATGAAATGTGGCTACTGTGACAAAGGAACCAAATTGTAACATTTAAGTTGAGTTAATTTAGATTTAAAGAGCCTTAAGTGCCTAGTGGCTTCCATATTGGACATTATGGTCTGGTGTTTAAGCCTGCTAATGTCAAAGGATGTTTTGATTTAATTTTACCTAGGAATTATTGTGTGCTTTTATGTAATATTTTGAGAATATGAAATGCCCTATGGACAACTAGGGATGGACAACTAGGGCAGGGCATTGAAACTTGCAGTCACTTAGAGAAAAGGGATCTCTTTAGGGTGGCTCTAGAAAACCCCCGAATCTGAGTTTCGAGTTCATTGGCACCTCTGTAGTATGGGTACTTTTAAAGACAAGAATTAGAAATAGAGTAGGAATCAAGAAGAAGGAACAAGGTTAACTCAGCAGGGCCTGGTTTGCCGCCTTGGTGCTAGGCATGTTATATAACCTTTAATAAAATGAGAAGGAATAATTATTGGGAAAAATAGTGTACAGAAAAAATCCAAGTTACCTTCAAGTGCATTTATAGACCCACCACTGCTACCCAGTGTCCTGTATTTATATAGCAGTGCTTTTTGTGTATTCTGGTGCTATGATTTATGACTTAAAGGGGCCATGTTATGTCTGTTTAAATTTTAAAAGTACTGTTCAAAGATCAATTTCCTATATTTCTGAGGAACAAGTTAGGAATAGAAAATATTATTCTCCATTCACATTGTTGTACTATTAACCCTGTCATCTGTGATTTCCTTTAATTCTAGGGCTGGAAACAGGATTGTTGAAATACTACCCGACCATCTGAAAGAGTTTCAATCCCTTGAAACTTTGGACTTGAGCAACAATAATATTTCAGAGCTTAAAACTGCATTTCCTCCGCTACAACTCAAATACCTGTAAGGAAAGTTTTCTTTAACAAAAGTGTTCACCTGTAATGAAAATATTGTTATGATGGAAAAAAAAGTTACAATATAGCAAATGTTGCCTGTTTTACTGGTGATGGATCAAAACTGTAACTTCATGACTTGAAATTTGGGATAAGCCCCACAATCACAATCTTCATTTAATTCTTAAACTTTTGTAATTCAAAAATTTAGGCATTCTATTAGAAAAGCTATAGCAGGCGTCCTCAAACTACGGCCCGTGGGCCACATGCAGCCCACCTAGGACATTTACCCAGCCCGCCAGGTGTTTTTGCTGCTGCTGCCTGTCCTGCTTAGCAGCCGACTCGTCCTGGGGCCCACAGTCCAGCCCTCCACTGGTCTGAGGGACGGTGAACTGGCCCCCTGTTTAAAAAGTTTGAGGACCCCTGAGCTATAGGGTGTAAGAAATGCTGCTTCTTTTTTAAAAAAATAACCACAATGAAACCGTTGCTGTGTTTTAGTAATAATTAATTTCCTAAAAGTTCAAGGTGTTCCAAAAGTCTCTGTACATCAGAAAGGTAACCTAATAATAGCCTTGGAACACATTCGCTGTGAGTGGGAGAGAAGAATTTATACATGTATAGAAAGAGGAGGCCAGCACATAGAGAATATTTTGTAAAATTTTGTAATGAAGATTTTATAAGTAAGGTACATTTAGCTACAGTTTCCCATTGCCCCGTGTATGGTCACTCTGGAATGCCCTGTAGGTGGATAACCATAATAAATTTATAACCTTTAAATATTCCAGTTCAGTCTTTCCTCAGAAATACATGCGAATCTTAATCACCATTTGCCCACAAAGGCCTAAACAGTAATTATTTTAAGTGCCCATTGGTGGTTAGGGTCTTTGGAGATTCTTTATACTGCACAGATTGCATGCACGTCCTCTTCCAAAGGAGTCAGAAAGAGAAGCTCATCTTCAAACTTTCAACAGGTATATCAACAGTAACCGAGTCACATCAGTGGAACCTGGGTGTTTTGACAGTTTGGCAAACACGCTGCTGGTCTTGAAGCTAAACAAGAACCGACTTTCGGCCATCCCACCCAAGATGTTTAAATTGCCCCAGCTGCAACATCTGTGAGTAAATGCCTCCTACGTATCATTTCCTCACCTCCTCCACACCTTGGCTCTCTGTTACTTAAAATCCAAAACGTGACACAAGGAGTTTAGAAACAAGAATTGGCCACCTTTCCCAGGAGAGCTAGAGTTGTAGAATCTCTACATTGGAAAGAGCCTTACTTGTTACCTCGTGCCTGCTGCTGCCTGATGAGACCCTTTGGGTGTTACTGGAAGGAGAGACCAGAGTGATCACTCAGTGACCTCCTTACAGAGCTGCTGTTGTGGTACCCAAGGAATCAGGGGGTGCTCAACAGCTGTGGTTTATGAGCATGATACTGGCAACTCCAGGAGGCTGTGATAGCTTAAGTGGCTGTAAAGAAGTGTCTCGTTGGTACTGGTGAAATGATCTGTGAACTGGCTTCGGCTGTCGGGTTCTCAGCCTCGGCTGTTCATTACAAACCCTTGGGGAACTTTAAAACCCTCCCAGTACCCAGGCCACACCCTAGACCAATTACATTAGAACCTCTGGGGGTAAGATCCAGGCTTCAGTAATTTTTAAAACTCCTAAGGTGGTTCCAGTGTGTAACCAAGTTTGACAACTACTGCCTTCAAGAGCACAGGAGACCTGACAAGGGTCAGGAAAGACAAAGCCGACTTGGTAAGCAGTTTGGACCAGGACCTCATGTCATAGCGTGATATTCAATATTCTCATTCAAGACTTGTTAAAAAACAAGTATTAATTCATTTGCTTCTGTACTGAGTGAACGATGTTTTAGAAGTTAAACCACAGTCTAGTTTCAATATTTTATTATACCAGAAATACATCACACATTTCAGAAGGAACCTCACTGCTAATAAATTGAAGTTCTTCTCAATAAAAATGTTTAGCAATTTAAAACATTCTATGTAATTTAATAACGACTGGTTTAATATTGTAGTAGTGGCACATTTTATTATCAGCTTTAAAATTTAATTGTCATCTGAGGTAACTGTTTAATTGTAATATTCAATGCAGCGAACTGAACCGGAACAAGATTAAAAACGTAGATGGACTCACGTTCCAAGGACTTGGTGCTCTGAAGTCTCTGAAGATGCAAAGAAACGGAGTAACAAGACTTATGGACGGAGCTTTTTGGGGGCTGAGCAACATGGAAATTTTGTAAGTGTGGGTCATTGCAGCTTCCAGTCGCGTGACGTGATCTTGGCATGTTCAATGAACATCAATGTAGCTCTTATTTTAACTGTGTTAAGACGTCGTCATCCATAATCTTACTCAGATTTGCTTTAGGGAATATAATTGAGAATTTATAAGTCCATAAACCTATAAACACATAAATGATAAGTATTTATAGGGTTCTTTGGACTATCTTATCATATCACAAAAGGTAAACATCTGGTAACAGTAGGACTATGTGGCAGGTTGTACCAGTGAAGCGACTGGATGATGAACTTCTGGTTCTTATTGTCAATGCAGGCAGCTGGACCACAACAACCTGACAGAGATCACCAAAGGCTGGCTGTACGGTTTGCTGATGCTGCAGGAACTTCATCTCAGCCAGAACGCCATCCGCAGGATCAGCCCCGATGCCTGGGAGTTCTGCCAGCACCTCAGTGAGCTGTGAGCTGCCTTTGATTGTCCTCAGGTTTGAGAGCAGGGATCATGCCAGGGCATGAGCCTCTCACCGCTCATCTGTGAAATTTTCATAACAGAGTTTCCAGGGTGACAGTCTCGTTCACATGCAACCCCGTCAGGTTTTTGTTGTGATAAGTTGGAGCCAATTCTGCTGTTTTCACTTTTGTGCCACACTGACAAAGGCGGTGATGGCCATTTTCACATAAAGAGAATGTGTATTTTTTTTTTTATTATTGAGACTGGAGTAATATCTACGTGACTATTATTTACTAAGGCAGAATTGTAAAATCAGGAGTATCGTAGTTATGTATATTACCTGTCTTTTGGAAAACAAATCACGGTGTTGAACTGACAAATTGAAGCCGTTTTCTTTTTTAATTCCATTTGTCTGCAGGGACCTAACTTTCAATCAGTTATCGAGGTTAGACGATTCGAGCTTCCTTGGCCTGAGCTTGCTAAACACTCTGCACATCGGGAACAACAGAGTCAGCTACATTGCCGACTGCGCCTTCCGGGGACTTTCCAGTTTAAAAACTTTGTAAGTCACACACTTTGCTCTCAGTGCACGAACCTAATTGGTTCCTCAATGTGTGCACTTTTCTCGAAGCAGAATTCCTTTGTTGTCAAGGAAGTGTGTACAGCCTCAGAAGTAGCGTTTTAATCTTTCCCAGATCAGTTTGATTAAAATGGACCCATGTCATCCATGTGTGTTTGGTAAAGGGATTAAAAAGGGCGGCGATAGGGTTGTTGTGGCGAGCCTGGGTTAGCCTTGCTGGGATGTCCAGGAAGTTGGTAATGGCTTAAGAAGGAAACCATTTTAAATCTACCAGTTCTTTTCTTTATAAAATACACATTAAGAATTACTCAGAGAAAAAAAGGTACACAAAGGGACGTCAGGGAAGGTGCCCATTTATCATGCCGGTACATCCACAACACAGGCTCCAGCCTCAGAGAAAGAAAAGAGCTGAATTAATTGACCTTTGAAAAGAATCTCTGGTGTGTTAATTTAATGTTGTGCAATGGGCTTTAGATTTTTGCTCTGTCAGAAACTTCTGCTCTGTTCGCTACTTGGAGCATTACATAGTTGGAAGGCGTGCTGTATGCTTTGGCCAACTCCCGCTTAGGTGGTTGGAGCAGTGGTTTTAAAGTTTAATATATTTTTCATACTTTTCAAGTCTTTCAGAATTTAGTCATCTTGATAGAGGAATTGATGGAGCCAGAGTCAGCTGTCCTGATGTTGAGCAAAACTTAAAATGCTGCTGGGGAAGGGGTGTGCCGGGTGGGAGAGGTGTGTTGGAGAGACCATTTGGGGTTGTCTGGAAAGGGGTGGGACGATGTGCAGAGTGACCAGGGATCTGTTGCAAGTGGTCTGGCACCTGGGGGGTCAGCTTAGGTTTCTGAGCATAGCTCTACAGAGAATACTTTTTTCAAAATTAGGGATCTGAAGAACAATGAAATTTCCTGGACGATTGAAGACATGAATGGTGCCTTCTCTGGGCTTGATAAACTGAGGCGGCTGTGAGTATGAGTTGCTTCCTACCTCAACTTATTCTTGGACTTACTAATTTTGTCCTCATTGGAGTCTGCCCCACAAGATCTCACTGGAAAGAGACGCTTCCCTTTCTCACTACCCCAAATGGGTGCTGTGGGGTGTGAGACAGGACGCATATTAATTAGCTTTTCTTCCATGCGTAAAAGCTTTGCATTCAACATTTTGCTCTGTGTACTTTATTTTAATGTCTAAATTAAAGACTTTTTAGCTGTCCTGAGTGGTTAGAGTTTTTGGGATTACCAGCATGTAACAGACAGTATACTTACCAGCTTCAGTGTTGTGAAATCCTCAGTATTACACGCTTCTCACAGGGACTTTGAAATTAAGTGACCCAATATCTGCTGATAATGCTGCAGTCATTTCTGAGCAGAACTGGATGGAAGCAGAGTTAGCCATCAGATTGTCCTGCAGGTGGCCGGATGACATGCTTCAAGCCCAGAACCCCTGTGGATGATGAAGGGATCCACAGAGGAGGAGGAGAAGGAGAAAACCTCCCCTATTATCTGCTTTATTTATTAGAGTTTGGAGACAGTTTACTTGAGATAAAGTTTCTTCCTGTTCCTAAAAAAACTTTGGGAAAAAAAAAAAAAAACAGCACTTGGTTTAATCAGAGAGTAACTTACAGAATACCTGTTTTTGTTGGGCTCTTTGTTGAATGCTTTGCAAAAACATTTGGACCTATATTATTGAAATAGATGGTATAGATACATTTTTACAGGATATATTATTAATTGAAAAAATAGAATTGTCCACAAGTGATTTAAAAAGCAATTCTGTTTATGAAGGTTCCACTCCCAATAGTTTTTTATTAACTATTCTAATGTATTTTTCCCCCCAGAATACTCCAGGGAAACCGGATAAGATCTATTACCAAAAAAGCCTTCACTGGTTTGGATGCATTAGAACATCTGTGAGTGGCTGGAATTTGCTTTACCCTAAAGGCATTCTAAGATGGTTATTTATTTATGTGTCATGAAAGTTACACTAGACTGTCATTTCATTGGTTGCCATCCTCTGAGTACCGTAAAATATATTTACACATTTCCCTGTCTTTTTTCTGTCTCTTTCTGATTCTGTCTGTTTACTCCTGATTCCTCCTGTTTACTTACCTGTCTGTCTGGTAAGTACGGTGGTGTGAGCAGGTGGACCTGTCCCTTTATATTCAAGGACATTGCTAAATTTCATTAATGGAGGGGCGTTATATTAAAAATCACCACACGTTGTGCTTCCACCACCTGTTGAGCATTGTATCTGATATTTTTATATATTGTCTCATTCAATCCTTTCAAGAATACTATTCAAGAGCTATTAGTATATATTTACATTATGCAGAAGTCTCGAGTGTTTATCGATTGCATTGGACAGTTAAGAAGATGACTTAAATTTTAGAGATCAAAAGGGACAGTTTCCCACAATCCTTAAGGGTGACATAAGGAGGTCCTGACACCACTGCGGGGATTGTTGTTAATTGGCTGTTTTTGCTCTTTAGTTACACCATGCATCACCTCCCCTCCCCCGTTGTTCTCCTCCTCGTTTTTTTCTGTTCCTTACCCATCACTTAGCAGGTGGAGAAGCAGGACTCAAGCTGAGCTGCCTCTCCTCGGCATCACACCTGCTCTTTGCCCAGCTGCCAGGAACTCTTGGCCCACAGTTCTGAAAGACATTTAGGACCTCAGCCCCCAGTAATTTTCAACCACCATGAGAGGAAAGCTAGCTGTCCTAGCCGGGTATGACAGCCTGCATGGGCACCTTGCTGTGACTTACCCAACCGCTGCCGAGCCTTGTTCAGTGAAAGTACAGAGTTCTGATACAGTGTGTATGTTAAGGAATGCTGGTGGCGAAATGTCTCACTAGCTAGTAACTTGGGCAGAAGTTACAATTAAGTTATACGTATGATTTGTGCGCTTATCTGTGTTGTGTTTCCATGTATGGGGGGTGAAGATTTGGCTGTCATCTGTAAACCCAACTGTCATCCTCTGACTGCGCCTGTCTCAGGGAGATCTAGAACCCTCACCTCACCTCAGATTCTGCAAAGCTGAGTTTTGGAAGTGTGCACCAGTGTTGCTGTACTTACTGAAACAGACTATTTTCAAAGGAAAACTAGCTGAAAGCGTTTGTTATCTATCTGGCCCCTGCCCTTTCTAAAGGGAAGGCAGAATCAGTACAGTATGAAATGCTCCAGTTTCCTGGAACCTTCCTGACTCTCCTGTCCCCTCTCTACTCAGCTCTAGTACTTTCTTTCTTTCCTGCCCCTTGTCTCAGTATGGCCTACGAGACTCTGACATCTGTAAAGAAAGACAGAGCCGGCATCCTTGTGGCCAATACCTTAATTCACACTGCTTAGACGTGCTGGTTGAACAGCAGCCCAGAATATTCGCTCATTTTATAAAGGTCCTGCCTGGAGTCTGTATTTGTTTTAACAAGTACATCTTGTCTGAACATCTTCCTGCCTTTATGTTAGTGAGGTGTGTGTGGCAGATGTAGGCTGGTGGCTAAAAGCCTAGGTTTTGGAATTGAAAATAATTGTTTCACAATTAAACTCAAGTTGGGGGGAGGGAGGAGGAAGAAGAGGGGAGGGGAAAGGGGAGAGGGGAGGAGGGCGGGGATTTCTGTGCTGTCATCCAGCAGGCACAAGGTAGGGGTACGTGGCACACCTAGGTGAGGGACACAACTAGAACTTGGACTCTACCTACCAACACAAAGTAACCTAATCGTCCGTACCCTCCTATTAATCTGAAATTAAAAAAAAAAAAGAAAGAAAATGATTGTTTGAACTCATACCTTCCCCTGTGTGCTGAGCTAGCTAATAATTTTCTCTTGGGTTGCTGTAGAAATCAATACAATAATGCAGTAAATCACTTGAGTTTATCTCATAGAAAATATTGTGTAAATGATGTTTTTAACAAGCATTAATTATGAGGAGTTTAATTTGTGTATTTATAAGTTACTGATAGTTACTAATCTGAATAATGAGAAATACAGTGAAATGACAGAGCAGCAGGGCTCTGTGACCCTCCTACTCCAGCCTCCTGTGAGTGGTGAGGTGGAGGAGACCTCTCACCGCAGCAGAGCCTGTCTCTCATACCAACACCCCGTCCTCCTGCCCAAGCTTCACAGCGGAATATGTGGGAGTTGCTGGTCCGTGTACTTTGGCACGTTGAGTGTTTGGTGCATGGGGCGGGCAGTGGATCTGAAGCTTTTGATTTGATTGTTTTTCAGAGACCTGAGTGACAATGCAATCATGTCTTTACAAGGCAATGCCTTTTCACAAATGAAGAAACTCCAACAATTGTAAGCTTTTCTATTTCTGTCAAGAACTTCAAATAAAGCATAGAGGGGGATAACTGGCATGTGGTCATGTCCTAGATTATGTCTGTAAAAATTGTCTAGCACATTCTTAACATTAATTTTTATGCCAGGAAACAAAAGGAGTTTGTTACTTGTTCCCTTTGAAATGAGGAGTTTTTCCTTCTGTCCTGAATTTGCCCCGTCTGCCTGTGGCCCGTCAGAGCAGTGCCTATGGAATTTGCCCCGTCTGCCTGTGGCCCGTCAGAGCAGTGCCTATGGAATCAAGAGCCACTTTCCAGCTCTAAGTATCAGTGCTTCTGTCTCAGTAGGACAGTGAGAACGACAGCAAAAATCATTTCTGGCATTTTAACCCGGGCCATAGGATATTCATTACATAGAATATGTATATTTAGTTTCTAAATTCATTGCCTTGTTACTGCTTGCTTAGGTTTAGTTTGCTTGCAGAAATCTGCATTTCATACGGAACAAATTGGGTGTAATTGCTCTCCCCAGGCATTTAAATACATCGAGCCTGTTGTGTGATTGCCAACTCAAATGGCTCCCGCAGTGGGTGGCAGAGAATAACTTTCAGGCTTTCGTCCATGCCAGTTGTGCCCATCCTCAGCTGCTGAAGGGAAGAAGCATCTTCGCTGTCAGCCCCGATGGCTTTGTGTGTGGTGAGTAGCAGCATCGCCCTTGCCTTTTATTTGTTCTTCTTTTTTTCCCCCTCCCATTTATCCAAATAATGGTTTTGCATAGGTTCATGTTCTCTTTATAAAGCATTTATTTCTGCTGAGGTACATGAAAATGGATCTATGGTTTGCTGATTTAATTTTGCAGATGGGAAAGAGAATTTTCTAAAATTGCTTCATCTTTGTTTTGGCATCAGGGCAGTTTGGTAGAAAGAGAATGAAATTGGATCTTGCAAGGACAGGAGGATGGTCCCAGCCCTGCCGTTTAACTGAGTTTCCCTACGTCTCGGTCTCCGCATCCATGAAATAGGGACTGTTTTCTGCTCTGGAGCTTCTTGAGAGGCTCTCATGAAAGAGAAAAATCATTAGCTAATGATCTTGTGGGTTCCTAAAAAATTAACTGTGGGTGGGTAAAGCATTACAAGTAATAGGATGTTTGAATTTATCGTAAATAATTTTAAGGTCCATCGACTTAGCAGCCAAGAACCTGAGTATTAGAAATCTCCTTACCCAAAGTCCACCCTGCCAGCTAGTAGCAGATCTTGATTAGAAAGAAAAAAATAATTATCTCTGGTGTAGTTGTCTGTCTACTACACTGCTGTTTACTACTTGCTGCCATGGGGACCTTTGTAAAAATAAATTCATGTATAAAACAGAAAGCCAAACTTTGCTTATATTTAAGTATGTATGTCCAGAAACTAAGAACTTTATTTTACAGGGGCATCTGAAAATTTACTTAAAATTGCTTTGTTTAGGTTGGAGCATTAAATAGAGCTGGCAGTTTCTGGAAATAAAACCTCCAGTATAGCTTTTGGATCTGAATAAGCTTTTGGCATTCTTCTAGAAGGGCCTGCCCCTGTCTCTTTCTCATGGTCCTTATTTCACACTTCCTAAAATGTGAATTCCCTGTTACTTTGAGACATATATGTCTATGGTTTTTCTTTTTTCATTCCATTTATTGTGAATCTGAACATTGATTATCAAGTGAGAATTTTAAAATAATACAGGAGAAGAAACCACCTGTAGTGTGACATGCAGACGTGGTGCTGGTGTTACCAGAGTGTCCCCCACACCCCCTTGTTACATAAAAAGTTATTTTTCCAGAGTGCCCAAATAATACACTTTGATAGGTCTGAGATGTTTCTTTCTGAGTTTAGACCCATGTCTGAGGAACTAAAGTTCAAAAAGGTAACTTTTTCAAAAAGTAACAGAGAACTAAAAATAACTCCTTAGAATGAAAGAGTTGCTTAGCGCTAATTATAATGTAGCTTTGACAGTGGGGCGCAGGCAGGATTGACGGGCTGCTGGGAACTCCAAGCTGAAGCCAGTGGCTTACAGTTGCTTCTGGAGAAGGTTTTTCTTTTGCTACAGGATTTTCTTTTTCTTTCTTTCATTCTTTCTTTTCTCTTTCTTTTTGGCTCTACCTAAGTTAAACTTTTAAACATTGATTCTGTTTTTGGTAAATGGGGTGTTAATTGCTATCTTTTATTATTACTATTATCAGAGCTGTGTACATTAATGCAATCATGGGGGTACAATGTCTTTAGTGGTATTGGTTAATCATGATTGGTGTTTGATTTCTTAATTTTGCTGTTCCTTGTTTATGGACAAATGGGCCGACTGCCGTTCCCAATAGCAGCATTCAGAGATGACCCATGAGCTTAGAAGTGTGTTAGCTTTTTTCTGTTTATACAGAGTACAAGGAGTCTGAGTAAACTGGGGGTTTCCTGACAGTTGTGAAATGACAGTCTCCTCTTAGATAATAATGATGGAGCAGTAGGTCTCCGTACCTATTTGAAATGAATGAGTTACTTTACGCACACTCCCACGGTGCCGCTCCACACTGGGACTACTAGTTGGCCCGTAAAAAGCACGCTATGGGGAAAGCCTGAGCCGCTGTTTGTTTTGTATTTCTTGGTGTTCAGAACTGAGCAGCTTTTGGACCCTTAACATTGTTTTGCTCCATCCTCTCCATTGTGAACAGATGATTTTCCCAAACCCCAGATCACGGTTCAACCAGAAACGCAGTCAGCGATAAAAGGCTCCAATCTGAGTTTCATCTGCTCCGCTGCCAGCAGCAGCGACTCCCCAATGACTTTTGCTTGGAAAAAAGATAATGAACTACTCCCTGATGCTGAAATGGAAAATTACGCGCACCTGCGGGCCCAGGGCGGCGAGGTGATGGAGTACACCACCATCCTGCGGCTGCGCCACGTGGGATTCGCCAGCGAAGGGAAATACCAGTGTGTCATCTCCAATCACTTCGGCTCATCCTACTCTGTCAAAGCCAAGCTCACAGTGAACAGTATGTGATCCGACTTTTCCTTTAGCATTTAAGAAACAGAAAGCACCTGGTGTCCGCTCCCTCTCATTCTTAACCCTGTCCTTTGCTCTGACAGTCCCCCCACCCCATCCCCACACAGGACTCTTCCTCTTCCCACTTCTGACTCCACTGAGATTCTTGATTTGTGTCTAAGCCAGCAGTTGTCATGTTGACGACACCATACTCTGTGATCGATATTGCAGAGATGAACCAGTTACGTTTTGCTCTTTAGGCCTCACGATGTGCTCTGAAGGCCACCAGGGACAGAGTTAAATGCACCCCACCTTTAATTCAGAAATCCGTGAATCCTTCCACTCTTGCTTGTGGCTGTGTGACTTGCCACAGTTTACTGAATGTCTCTGTGCCTCAGCTTCTGTTACACATCTTCCAGTTAGAGACAAAAGGACCTTCCACACTGAGTTACTGTGATCATTGAATATTGTGTGTAAAGGGCTTAGCTAAACGCCTGGAATACAGGTGGCTCTCAGTAAATGCAAGGTGAGCTGCCGCTGTGTGATCAAAGTATGCCATTGTTTGCATTGCGGGGAGGGTGTACAGTTAACTGTAGGATCCTCACTATTTTATCCTCCAAGTATTTGTATCTGCTGTGGGAGAAGATTTTGGATTTGGTTTGTTAATACATTGACTCCATGGAGGACTGCTCAGGCCTGCCACATAGAGCAGTTTGGGGTTTAAGTTCTAGGAGAAAGCAAATATCTTCAAGTCATAGGATTTCAGAGCCAGCCAGAGGGACTTTAAGAGATGTGGATAAAGTGAGTGGTACCAAGAGATGTGCCCAGCATCTCACAGTTCATTATTGAAGAAACTAAAAGAGGCTGGGGAACAGCAGGAGAGCTTCAGTCAAAGGACCAGACGTGCTGTGTTCCAGGCTGGCTTCATCGTGTCTGTGTCTGTGTAACCTTGAGCAAGTTATTTTAATCCTTCTATTCTCAACTTGAGTGTCCTTGTCTTGAAATTGGAAATAATCCTTGCCTTACCTCTGTCAGAGAGATTGGTAAGTATCAAACAAAAAATGGAAAGGAAGGCGGTGAACCCCTCAGGGCCACAGAAAATGGAAAGGAAGGCGGTGAACCCCTCAGGGCCACAGAAAATGGAAAGGAAGGCAGGTGGACCCCTCAGGGCCACAGAAAATGGAAAGGAAGGC